TATAGACACTCCACACAAAAGGTAATTGGATTTATGCAGGTGCAGATTTATAAAGAGCAACAACAACAACAAAAGAAACAAAGGTAGCCGGCCTTGCTGAACCCTTAAAAATAAGAATGTTATTTGTCAAAAGAATCACTTCTGACCCATTTGATTCTCTTAAGGTTACTTTGATAAGATTTTTTCAGGTATATTTGAGGCCTTGAATCATTATTGAGATCACAGAAGAAACCTAGACGTTGAAAGATTCCTGTTCATGAAGCCAAAGAGAAGGGACAGATGAATGCATGCTATGGAAAGTCTTAAATTAATGTTGACAATTTTTGTAGTTAGGTGAAACACAGTACACCAAATGGTTAAAGGTACTTAAGGTCCTACTGATCATAATCCAACTATTAGATTTAAAAAAAATGGGAGGGTTTGTGAATCCCTGTGTGGCTCAGTGGTTTAGTGCCACCTTCAGCCTGGGGCATGATCCTGGAGACCCAGGATCCTGGAGACCCACGTCGGGCTCCCTGCATGGGGCCTGCTTCTCCCCTGCCTGTGTCTCTGTCTCCATCTCTCTCTCTCTGGGTCTTTCATGAATAAATAAATAAAATCTTAATAAATAAATAAATAATAATAAAACCCCCTAAATCCAGTTTATCAAGAAAGAATGTGGACATGGTTTGAAAGAAGTCAGCTATTTATGGATACTGCCTTACAGCACAGTTTGGGATTTAACCTTTCAAAAACAAGATGGAATATACCAAAAAAGCAAAAAACAAACAAGTAAACAAAAAAACATGGTAAACAATTTTGCAAATAGTAAGGCAGAATTGGAGATTTTGAATCAAATTATCTTAGAGAACTCTTCAGTTTTGGAGAGTTAATTAGCTATCTTATCTAGAAGCATTAAGCTCCAACTGGATGAATTCTAGAACTATAATATTATAAAAAGAATTCAAAGGGAATCTGTGACCAGATCATGCCTTTCATTGAAGTTATATGAACAACACAGTGTTCTGAGCTGGATGAATGCAAAGCACAGTGCATTCCACTGACATATTTTGTAGTCTAGTTGTGATGAAAATAAAATTAAAGAGCTGCTTTTGAAACTTACCTGAATTCTAAGGTTTTTGTTGTTGTTGTTGTTGTTGTTGTTGTTGTTGTTGTTGTTGTTTTAGTTGACTCTTACAAGTCCCACTTAGCAGCATATTGAGAGTGGGTCAGAGCAACCTGTCTTACTGCTACCCACATTCTGAGCAGTCAAATCAGGTTTCAAGTCATATTACTTGGAAGGTAGAAAATTATAGAGTTATCTTTAAAAAAATTATCTGGTTTGAAACATGAAAGCAGAGCTTCACACTGTTAAGATCGTAAAAAGTGCTTATGCTATTATTGTTAAATGCAATATTCTCATTCATTCATTTGACAGTTTATTGAGGGTCATACGTGATGCCATTTTTGTATGAAATGGGTTTTGCATGCAGGAGCTTTAAGATAATTGATTTAGATGGGAATTTATCACTTAAGGATATCTACCTTGTAGATGGAAAAAAAAAGAAAATGTTAATTAATGAATGGTATTAGCTACTTGATCAGAAATTTGAGTAAAGTCATACTTAGATTTATCGTACAAGCTGCCCTTAGACAATGAGAAGTTGTAGCTATGCATGAACTGGACCAGATTTTTCCCTTTTTGGTTAATGTGTCTTTATATAAATGTACTCCATAAGGGAATAGTTTTCTTATTCCAAATCTTCTGTGACCAAGGTTTTAAGAGAGCCTTCAATAGTCTCAACAACCAGTCAGTGAAATGATTATGCCTACCAGGGTGTATTAATTAATAAGAGCTCAAGAGACAGTTTGAACCTAAGCACTCTACACGTTAAGTATACATCACAAGTTATACTACATTATGATGTCCTTTTATCAGGTAGACAAGTTGAGAGGGAGATACACAGATTTGTCTATTTGAATATAACCTCTGGTATTGACCAGTGTCCGGATAGGCAACCTGGTCATGCCTCTTCCAAAGTTAGATTTTGGGGTAGCTCCAAAAAGTAAAATTACTTTTGAACACAGAATGTTAAAGACCAAAAAGGGAGACTGCTCCTGAGTATTGTCTATATAGCAGAGTTAGTACATGAATCTAGTATTAGTACTGTATGAAGTTGGAAATAGAAATAAAAAGGAAATGGAGGTTGGAAATATAAGGTTGGAATAGAAATGGAGTAGAGGGCAGCCTGGGTGGATCAGCAGTTTAGCAACGCCTTCGGCCCAGGGCATGATCCTGGAGACCTGGGATTGAGTTCCACATTGTGCTCCCTGCATGGAGCCTGCTTCTCCCTCTGCCTCTCTCTCTCTCTCTCTCTCTCTCTCTCTCTCTCTCTCTGTCTCTCTCCCCCCCCCCGTCTCTCATGAATAAATAAATTTAAAAAAAAAGAAATGGAGTAGAAAATAGGTTTAATTCTTTAATTCTTGTTACAATCGGGAGTTCAGTAACCGCATGGAAGCAAAATGGAACAAAAACTGCATTTCAACTATGTTATGAAAGGCCTTGTATCACCATTAACTTCCTTTCTGAAAATGGTGGTTATGCTTCTTGGGAAAACATTTCAGAAATGATAGGATTTTCTTAAAGGAATTGCTGAATTACTGCATGTGGTATAAATTGCTATAAATGATCTCTTTAAAACCCCATAAAAAATAATCTAAATGCTCACAAAAAAAGTGGAAAAGCCATAAAAGTCAGATGTGTTAGGAACAAGACCTAGGTCTCTTTAACATCCCAGACTTTGCTCCAAAGTCTCATAATTGCATGATTGCCTACATGCTTATAATTTATAGACTTTGGCAGAGAGTTTTCAGATATTGTTTATTTCAGATAATCAAGTTGAAAGATGATTAGTTCCTTGTTTGACCCACAAGTTTATATTCTGAACCTTTACCCAATTTCATAGCAAAGCAACACTTACTCGAGCCATATTGAACCATTTTGTCAGGAAATCCTTAGGTAAAAATGTATAGGGTTCCAGTACTAAACAAAAATCTTTAAATCCATGCCCATTATATTTTCCTACTTTAATAGTAGAAAGCTTTTTAAATTATATTTTGTTGTATTGCTTTTAATGAGAAATTATTGATGAAAATTTTGTTAGGATTTCTATTTACGTATTTAGTGACCAAGAAATATCAGGGGGAATAACATCAAAAGTACTTTTCTGTAAGTTTGCCAATACAAAACCAAATTTAAAAATAACTTAGAAGCAGATTGCCTGGGTGGCTCAGTCAGTTCGGCATCTGCCTTCTGTGCTGATAGTGAACCCAGCCCAAGTCCTGGGATCGAGCCCCATGTGCTCCCTGCTTGTCCAGGAGCCTGGTTCTCCCTCTCTCTCTGCCCATGCCCTCGATCATGCTCTCTCTCACTCTCTCTCTCTCTTTCTTTCTCTCTCTCTCAAGTAAATTAAATCTTTAAAAGAAGTAACATAAAGAAAAATAAAATTCCTAATTCTTTAAAATTAATTGTTCTGTGTATAGATGATATAAAAATACATGACCCATTGCCTTTAAAATCTAGGACCCCAATCTTATCTTTAAAAGGGATTCAGAATATGGATACACTTCCAGAAAGAAAGTGAGAATTGTTCACTATAATTACTATGTCAAAAAGGAAGATTGTTTAAAGAAAGAATTAATGGCTTCTAGAAATGTGTCAAAGTGAAAAATAATTAAAGACAGATTTTGTGATTTTATAAAAACAAAATCCCAGATGTACTGTAATTTTACCTCCATATACATCAGTATGTACCTCTTAAGAACTATAGACTATTCCTTACAAAGATATAGTTTATAAATCAAAATATAAAATTTGTGAGTTTTCTGTTTCTCAGATAACTTCTCAATACATGGTGTCCTCATTACTTCAAAAATAGACTAGTCTTTTGATGAATTATACAAATGTGATCCTAAATATCTCAAAGTGTTGTTTCTTTGTGTATTTATGCATATTTATTGATTTCATTAACTCAATAGCCTTTTAACAATTAGGAAAAAACCCTTTATTCTGGAATGTAGGTCTGCTCTCAAGTGACTTTTGTTATTCTAGAATAGGTAAAATATAAGCAGAAATATTAGTAGTAGGGAGTGATATAATATATGAGCTGCTAAAGAAAGGATTCAGGTTCTCATTTAATTTCTTGTAATATTCGATGGATGAAAAGTTATAGATATCAGCTATATGTAAATTTACACTCCCAAAGTTCTAATAGAGATCATTGATTTGTCCTGTTTTGTGCTTTCTGAAATAATCTTACCTGTCCTATTGGATTTCATGAAAATATAAGTGAGAAAGCTTCACAGGAAAGGGAATTAACAATTTTATTTTTTTAAGAAGTGTGGCACAATTGTTTTTTAACCGATTTCAGAGAACTTTTTAACTCAAAAGGTGCTATTCATGTTCAGTATACACAATAAAAGAAATACCTACACTCATATAGTTATAAAACTCACTACAGTTAAATCTCAATATTATTTTATATGTTGAAATTAATCTACTTTTGCTTATGATTTTCGGTCTTTGTGTTTTTTGTTTGTTGTTTTTTGGTCCTTTGACAAATCTGTTAATTTAAGAAGGGATGAGAAGCAAAGAAGAAGGTTAAATCCATTAACTTGTTTTAGAGCAACATTGCCAAACTGTGCAGAAAGGACAGTAAATTAAAACTATTGGAAAAAACAATGATCTTTAAAACATGACACATGCATTTAATGTAGTTATGTTATCTCTGTTCTTTGTGGAAAACCCACAGTTGGTTGTAGTACTCATAGAGCAGAGTGCCAGGCCTCAATGTAAAGATAAAGAAATGTCTCTGTTTCTATTTGCAAAAGTTCTTCCCACGTATTTATTAAATCGATACTTATACATAATGTCAGTGTCTTCTGACATTGGTAATATTCTTGACTTTAAAGAAAATTGATGATAAGCATTATAAGAATTGATTTTATATTTTGGTCAACAGATTTTCCACATGACATATGACCTTGCCAGTGCAGTGGTGAGAATATTTAACCTCATCGGCATGATGCTGCTCCTATGCCACTGGGATGGCTGTCTTCAGTTCTTAGTACCACTACTGCAGGATTTCCCACCAGATTGCTGGGTGTCTCTGAATGAAATGGTTGTAAGTAATTCGTATTATTTTACACACTGCATATTCAATGTTTTGCCAAAGATTTCTAAGTGTTTAGGTTAGAATGATCTAATTTCTTCTCTGTAAATGTTTAGAGAAAACTTAATTTGCTTTCATGGATGTAAAATCAAATATTCTACTGCTTTTTCTATGACTACATTTTGTTTATATGAAATGTTTCTGGGGAATGTGTTATGGGATCTATTTTTTAGGTATCTTACTCTGTGTATATTGAAGGCATATTTTATTTCCAAGCTACATGTACACTCACATATGTACATATGTATGTACAATCATATTTATAAGAATGGTACAATATTCTTCTAAAACTGTCTACTGCTTAAAATAACTCCTTTCTTTCTACTTGATTTTGGCATTTACTATTTTAAGACACGCAATTCTAGGTGGTGTTTAACATATAGAGACATGTATATTAGTATATATGCAATGAGATATGTGTGATGTGCATGGTATTTTAGATAGTAATTTTTGCTAGGGAAGACAATGAAAAGCTTCATGGAAAGGGTAAAGCCATTATTTATCTTTATTTTTTATTTTTTAGTATAATTGACACACAATGTTACATTAGTTTCAGATGTACACTTTAACCTGAAAGATGTATGAATATTTAAAAATATTTTATATTTTAATATTTTATATTTTTATATTTTATTTTTATAAATTTTCATAAAAAATATTTTATATTTTATAATATTTTTATATTTTACATATAAATTTGATTAACTTAAGTATATTAATAGTCACATTTAATTTGAAGAACATGAGTTTTTAAAAAAAGAACATGTGCTTTAATCTATATTGTATAATACTTACAAAGGAATTGAAAGAATAGTAAATATCGGAAGATAAATTTTATGACTCTTCCACAAAATTTTAAGTTTGATGACTCACAAAATTTTAACTTTGGCATAAATCGAATACTCTCTTTCTTCCCAAAATATTCCATATTAATTTCTGGGCTTATTATTGTAGAAATGATGTGTACATCTTAAGAACATGTATGTTTTTCTTCTAATAACTATAGCTCAGTCTCTGTATTTGAAGAAAAGAGGAGTTTACATTACATGCAGAGAAGTCTGGTCTTCTTTCTTCTTGCCTACCTATTTTCCTCCTTCCCATCCTTTCTCTCCCTTCCTTCTTTATTTCTTTAACTGCTTTCTTTGAGACTTGATATTTACCTGGATCTCTCCTTCATTTCATTATATATGCTTATATGTCACTACTTCACTGAAGCCACTGTGTGACCACTCTGTCTAATCTATCACCCAACTGGTTTATATTTTATCTTAAAAGAATTTAGTTAAACACACTGTTATTTATATTTGCTTGTGCCCTCAACACAAAATGTCTGTTCCATTAGGTCAAATAATTGACTGTTTTGTTCTGTACTTTATGGTCAGTGTAGGTCAAACTGTAGTTTGTTTTAATCTAGCCACTCATTATTAAAAGTTCATTTGAGAAATACTGTATTTGTATTTCTGTACCTAAGCAAAAATCTAAGCAAGGTGTTTGATCAGGTCACTTTTCAAATTTATGAATTCTTCTTAATTATAGATATGTCTTTTTACTTACCACTGAAGGAAAAATTGTGAAGACATTACTAAGATATTTTGGTGGGGGTGGAAGGAAAACAAAAACAGCAGCTCTATACTGTAGCTACTGACTGAGTGTATAGTATAAAAACACTAACACTATTGCCAAAAGATAATTCATCACCGGCACAGATTAATATTTAAGTTAACAAATAATTTTTTTTAAATTACCATTAAGTATCTTTCAGAAAAATAGGAATTGTCTTTAGTAAAGGAGTTAAGGGACTATTTTGGAATATCCATAAAGTACATATAGTTGCGTAGTTATAATATATGGGAATACACTACTTAATATATCCAGTGCTAAGCGCATTTATTGAAGAAAAATTTTAATATCTTGATCACATTTTAAGTGTGTCTGTTTGCTTTGTGTGTTTATATTTAATCTAGCATAGTCAAACTTTTATGATATCCTAATGTTATACAAAATACCTTTCCTGTATTTGCAGTGTTTTTTTCTTGCATCTTTTTTGAGGGGCAGGTTTACTTATGAAATTGGCTCTTACTTTCTTTCACATTTCTTTAACATTGTTTTCATATTTAATATCAAGGGTAGGAGACAGTTAAGTCTATGTTCAACTATAAAGACCAAAAATATATTGTGAATACTTGTGATATGAAGGAGATAATGGTAAAAAAAAAGACAATTTTTGTATCATTTAGAGAATCTTCATGTCATTTGACCTTGAAGATAGTCATTTTCTATCCCAAAGTCATCGAATTCTAGAATACCTTCCATCACAGCAAAGCAAAGCAAAGTGTATTTAAACAATAAGGGAGTTAAAAGAAGTAAAAAATCCAATGTAATAAAAAAACAACCTACATGTATATATTTTGCTTACTGTATATAAGCCCTTGTGCCTTGAAATATGTTCTTATTTGGTCCTCATAGCAACAAATGAGGTGAGCATTGTTATCCCTAAGTTGCCAGTTCAGAAATCTGAAATTTTTAAAGGTTAATTTAATTGTTCTATAGCACACAAATTACTAGATTAATAGAAGCGAGATTAGAATGCCTGACTATGTAATTTCTCTTCTAAACCACAGTAGAATATCTTGTGTTGCATAGATTGTAAAAAATAGTTAAGAAACACAGATTGCAGTAGAAAGTCACTCGAATATCAGCATTTGAGCTCTGACACTAAAAAGCAGCAAGACAGATATGAGATATAGATGTAGAAAAGCAAAATCAAGCTGGGAAAGAAAGTGAGAAGCCAGATCAGGGTAGATGCAGGACATGATATTCTTCATTCTTAGGTATGTGCTTGACAATTTTATGATGTTTGACATTGATACTAAATAATTTATGGTAAAGACTAGGGTTTTGGGTCAATTCCTCATACCTTCCTTCTTTTTCATATTTTGTATTCTTAAATGATTTATATCCTTCAATGTTATTTTAAATCCTCCTTAATCATATTTTCACTTATATGTACATTTATCTTTTTATATGTATTTTAAATCTTTCTGAAACACGTTTGTATTTATATCTATTTATCACTAGCTAGTTACCCATATATGTCCTATAATGAGAAATCCAGAGTAGTGCTATACCTATACTATATCTTTAACTGGTAATTTGTTCAATATATTTATTCTTATCTTAACTATTTCTAATCTGCAGTTCATTCTGTAGAAGTAGGCATAATTCCTCTCAGTTAATTCCTTTGCTATGTTTTTAAATTCCTATTGAAAGAATTCTTTAAATGCCATTTTTTTTAAAGTCAATCTTTAAGGCATGGTGGGCTACTTGGATTGATGAGGTGGGAGATACTGACTTGAAAAATCCAATTTGCACAGGATTAATCTTACTCTACATTTATAATATAATTTTGTATTGAACATTACATTCAAGAAATATTTGAATTATAGAATTCTGTTGAATGAAAATCTTGGTGAGATAATTAATGTCTAATAAAATTAATTCTGAAAATCTTATCATCACATTTTTTGACTGTTTTTAAGCAATATCACACTAAAATTGTAAAGTTCATTATTAAGGATATTAGAGGTGTTGGTTTTTGGGTTAAATTAAAAATTATGAAGTATTCATTTTAAAACTCTAAGAAAATAAAAATTGTGATGCATCTGAACTTAAATAATAATTTTGTCATAATTTAGGGGATGACTTTACAGAATAAAGAAGGATTTGCAGCTAAATAGTGGATTCCTATAGAAGTGTTTCTTTGACTGAAATCTGCAGGTTTACTCTCACGGAGTCCACAGTTCTCTCCCAGCAATCTTGTAAATATATAAATATATGCTGGTGATAGTTTGAAAGGTTTCAGGGTAAAAGTATTATGAATCTTCAGTCATATGAGTGCTCTAAATATGGAGTCTGGATTTGCTTTTGTAGTTAAAGTACCCTGTGCCATATAAAATAATTCTCGCTTATTGACAATAATTAGGGATCCATTTATATCAAATGAAGGCTAAGTGACATCATATCAAATGCTCTACAAAATTTTCACTGTAGTCAAAATGAAGAGATGGGAGAGTCACTTTTTACATACCACACCCTCATATAGTAGTGTGTTAAACTGCATAACCTACAATAACTAATGCCATAAAGGCACTAAATTTACATTGTACACACCTATTGTTTTTAGCAAAACATTTCCCATCACAATAAATTTACACTGATAGGTTTATTGACTTATTATTTTGTTAGTATTTGATTTGTAAAATTGTTTTAACTTTATAAGAATTATAAGTATAAGAAATTTATATCTAGTCTTATAGTTGTATTTGTTTAATATCATAATCCAAATAATTTGAGCTAACTCAAGTGCTGTGTATTATAATGTTTCAGTTCATTTCAAAGACTGGGAATTCATCAAGTTTATATGAACCATACTAAAAGTATCAGAAAATAAGATATATAAATGTCTGGAAGGGTTCAATTAATAATATCTATGTGGAGAAAACAAGAGATCTGATTGGAAAAATCTAGATTATTACAAAGTTTCATTTTCATTTGTGACAGTGTACCTCAAGTTATTAGTGTATTACCAATAACGCAATGGTCACACAGTCCACATTCTCCAGTTCCCTTCCTGTTGGATGGTTATGGTCAATGGACTCTGAGTGGCAGTGTCATATTTCACATAGAGGTCTAAGCATTGAGAAGCTGGTTTGCAACCCTCCAGTTCTTTTTTTTTCTCCCCTTATTCAGAGGCATCCTTTTAATTTGTAGCCCACAACATAACATAGCTTATTCTGACTCTTTTAGACGACAAAATAGGGATGGGAAAATCTGGCAGAAATGAATTTAGAGACACATTCCAGAATTGCCTCTACCGTTAAAACTTCTATGATTTTAGGCAAATCACTCAACTTTCCTGTAGTTCAACTATGCAATGAATATATATTATTTAT